TTCCAGTAAAAAAGGGTCTCCGAATCTCGACACTCACCAGACGAAACATAGCAGTATTAAGCTGCTATTTTACGCTGGTATTCTGTGAGAGCGTGATCCCCTCCCAGTCGAGCCGATTAATTTATATTACAGTATAGCGTTACTCTACCAAATAATATGTGAATACAGGACCGGTAGATGTGTTATTTTACACCAGACTATGTATGCTGGAATTGCCGCCACGAACAAAGTCAGCTACGACATGTTAGAGCGGAGCATATTGGTTTGAAGAGACTACTGTAGAGTTGAATTCTTATCACAATTGGTCAAACTTTAGAAACACATAATTATATATTTAACAAAATCATCTATTTGTAGCCAGATGTTCTCATACCGACAACTTTCAAAGTGAAAGAAACGAGGAGACTGAGGAGCGTTAAATATTTTTTAAAATAATAATTATTCGCAGTTCTGCATCATGATCAAACTCCAGAAATCCGTGTCACCAGGAGTTGTGGATGGGTGAAGAACAAACGAGAGTGCTACACAGCAGATAACGAAGACCACTTGGAGACAGTGTGCCAGTGTTTCGGAGATATGTGCAATGCGGGAAATGTATTCGAATATGTCAAAGCGACATTTCTTGGTATTGTGTTGGCAACATTCATTACAATAAAAAGTTGGAGGGCATAAGCTCAAAGTGTATGTTTGCTTGATCTGATTCTGAAAGACTAAGATAATTTTAATTTAGTTTATAAAACGTAAACACATTAAGTTATAATTATAATATAATCAATAAAATATAATTACCGACGGGTTTTTTATATTGATCCACTTCCATTCTCTTCATAACATAATAATAATGTCCTCCAGACCGAATTTCGGTCACGGCGGCCAGCGTCAACGGAGACTAGCCATCTCCGCAGGACAGAATTATAGTGCTCGAGTGCATGCGCAAGCACAGGTGCACTCTCTATTCCCTCGCTGTCACAATCCGATTGGATGGTAAACCAACACGACCGGAGAGAGATCAGGCGCAGAACCAACGGCTTTACGTGCTTTTCGAGGCATATGGGTAAGACACTGCCAAATTCCTGACTCCGGGCAGCTACTAAGAATTTCTTGACGGAAAATCTTAATAATTGATTTTTTGGCCCGACCCAGGTTTCGAACCCAGGACCTCATGATCATCAGCCACACTACAACTTACTTCATAACATAACGTATAAGTAAAAGAAAAACTCAATTTCCCTATCAGTTTTATCTAAGCTTACAAAGTTTGTTCCGACTTGTTGGTTACCCCGAAACATCTTAATCAAGAAATTTGCTTCCTATTTTGATATGGGTTGATTAACGATAAAATTAATAATATTCAGATTCACAGGTTTTTCAAAACGTATAATATAGAAGATACTACAAGTATATTATAATACTTCTGTAATGTTCTGCAGAGAATAATGATATATAATATTCTTTAATAATAAATATGTAATTTTGAATAGCTAATTACAAATTAAAGTAATTTTACAAAGGTGACAATCGTTTTTGGGCCGACTAGAAATTTTTACGTAATTTAATGATTTTAACACATTAAAAAAGACCAATTTATTATGTAAATTGGCTAAAGATTTTATAAAAATCCATCAGGAATCGTGATAAATAATACTTTTAAGAATATATGCATATAAATCACCGCCCCGCCGTCTGTTTATTCGTGAAGAGTTTTATCCGGAACTACTAAAAATATTCTTTTAATACTTAGTGTCGGAGAATCCACCAAGTAGTATTAAAATATTTTGAAGAACCTCCAACTTTTTTATACTTTTTATTACTATTTATTATTAACAGTGCACTATTATAACCCCAGACTTAGAATATACTCCAGGGCTCTGATTGTAACATAGAGTATCGATAAAAACTATTAGAGAGTCGCACATATAAGATTTTAGGTTATGGCACAGAATAAATAATTTATAGGGAGATTTTTTTTCTTTATATGGAAAAACGTTACCTCCACACTAGGATTTCTCCTGTATCGTGGGGGCAGTTTACAAACATAAATTTCAGAAGGACAAACATCCAGACCCGGAACAATTACTTGTAGGCCATACAAATACTTGTTCCGTACGGGATTCGAACCCGCGGTCCTTAGCGCTGTAACCACAGGCTGCCACTCATTGCTAAGCCACTGCGCCACGGAGCCACCCCGTGATTGCCGTTCACTGACCTCTATATATACAAGTACGCTGGACTGGTATACACCGTGACATGATGAGGAGATTTGATTTGCGCCATTTTGGCGCTGACAGCAGAAGTGGACGTCCACGGAACAACACACGGAATAGGGATAAGACAGTGTGACAAAATATATCGATAAAAATTCTATACCCTACCTTTACCTAAATAAATAGAATAGACTCTATGGATAGATGGCCTCTACCCGTAACGTCCATTCTATTGATGTATCATATTAACATAAGCCATTATCATTCATCATCATTAAACCCATTCACAAGTGCCCTGCTGAACATAGGCCGTCCACAAGGAATGCCACAAAGCACGGTCCTGAGCCACCTGCATCCATCAACTTCTTGCATGTCTTACCAGGTTGTAACTCCATCTAGTGGAGGAAGTCCTACACTTCACCTGCCGGTACGAGACTGCCACTTGAGAACCTTTCTTCCCCATCAGTTATCGGTTACCGGTACCGAGAAGTGAATCCATTGATTCACTTCTCGGTCGAAGTCGAACTTACCTAGTCGGACTATTTGTCCCGGGTAAACATTCATAATGATGATCATACTTCATATTATCACAGACTTTAGAAATAGACCAAACCTTCTTTTGAAGTGACATTCTGTTCCCGGTAGCAACTTGTGTTCCGATCTATCCACCAAATTTATATTGATAAACAACAATCACATTTGCCACGGATTGCTACTAATAAAAAAGAAAAGAAAAATCAAGATATCAACATAAAAAATAAGAATCTCTTCCCAGGCTCTTCTCAATCTTAGGCAGCTCCATGTATTCTGGAGGCAGCAACATACCGGCTTCTATGGTTTCGAGATCAACATCCGGATAAGCTTTGTCGTGCACGATATTACACTAGCTCTTAAGCTTTCCAGCGTCGGCAGTGCCACGTATTCTGGGGGGCTTAATAACAATGGCCAGAATTTGTAAATAAGAAAGAAACTAGTAGGGCCACTACGAAGTTAAAGCACAAATTAAATCTCTAGACTCGTATTTACTAAATATTAAACCCCCATGGTGGTCTTCCTGCGCCGCATATTGGTAGGGCCAAGGAAATGCTTTCATGCACATCTGCGGCTCCACCAGCACCAGTCGCCCAATGGCAGCCCCTCCTTAGTTGCCGACTTCTTCTCCCCGTTTTCTTTCTCAGATAAGGCGCATCAGAAACACAAGGCACACTGCCCTTCGCGGCCTCTAACTCCACCTCCACCTGCCCCCGTTGGCCTCGCTCGCGATGTAAGTGATTAAAGCCGCCCATGAGCAACTGCAACACCAGGGAACTGCAGATGCGTTGCCGGCCATTTAAAATGAAATAGGCTCTAATCTTATATATTTTCTTTCGGTATGTAAATGGAGCCAGGAAGAAACGAGCACTTGGAAGCATCAATTGTTGCAGCCTCACCAAAGTCGCGGAGGATAGCATGGTGCATCGTCAATCGCCATACCAACAGTCCTCTTCCCTTACGACTCCACCTCGACTACAGCGGTACAGGGAGAGGAATCTCCTAGAGCCGCAGCCCACTAACACACATCCAACGTGGCTCGACATCATCAGGCGACCTTTCTACACTCGGCTATAACACTTGAGTTTGGGGGAAAATGAGAAGAGAAAAAAACATTCGAAATAATTATACTTACTAGTACTGATACTGGTATAGTTCGTGCGAAATCGATTGAGAAAAACAGACGATGACCTCTGATATAAGCCGAGTGTCAAAAGGCGTAACAACGTACAAAATCTCAATTAAGATGTAATAACAATATTGATATTATTCACACTTCTAGGTCAGTACATATGTTTTGTTTTTTTTTTTTTGTTTCTTAAATAATATTGTCTGAGTTTCCTATAACCATCGTAGAATCTTACCGTACATCGCGAAAAATGTGTTATATTTTATATTTCAATTTATGGTAAGTAGCGCAGCAATTCATTTAATAACAGTTTCATATTTAAAAAAAATATTTGAAACAATATAATCCCATATTGAGCTTTTGCAAATTCATCCCTTTAAAATAAACAAAACGCGTGTTACGTCGGTTCGTTCTAAAAGAAACGCGACAATGGCAGCCAGAAATACGTCACTTTTTTGGACCGGCCCGCACGCACCGAATAAAAATAAAGTTCTTTTATAATATTGAAAATAAAGTTTTATCTTTTGAATAATTACGTACTTATTCGGTGTGGTTATTACTCGAATCTTTATATGTGTTATAACTTAATGCTTTTTGTAGTTAAATGAATAAAGTACTTTATAACAATAGATGATTTTTCTTCTACAGCGATCTTTTACATAACTTTTAAATAATAGTTAATAAATATATATCATATCAATCTTTATAAAAAAATACATTATAAATAAAGAAAGTACTACGTATAAAATGTGCCTATATATTGAAGGTTTGAAGCCCCTGGTTAAACGACCGAAACGTCAATGTCCGTTTTTCTCAATAGATTTGGCACGAACTATACCAGAAAATATTGTCGGTAAACTGCACTTTTTCAAAGTGGTGCGGTTCTTATGTCTAATAATAATAATAATAATAATAATAAATAGGCGTAGGGAAGTGACGACCCCATCGCCCGCTGATATAACGGTTATGTGACAAAACCGCTACGTCGGCGCAGTCAGTCAGCACCTTGCCAAGAGGTGTTAGTGCCGTGCCTCGGCAAAAATTGAAGGTGCCAAGGCCCGCTTGTGCACATGGCCTAACCATGAAACGGCGCCGGGTCTGGGCGTCTCCCGCTAAATGACGCCCTAAAATGGATGATGGAATCAAATGGAACGCGCAAAGGGCCGCTGCCTGGAGGTCGCCAGGGCGCGTCTGGAGCTGGCGCTGGACGCGACAGCATGCGAACCGCCAGCCGAGCGCGAGGTGCTGCACGACCACCCAGCAGCTCCTCGCATCCATCATCCCCACCAGCTGGCTTGGTGTCGGCAGGGTCTTCGCGGGCTCAGCAATCGGCACCCGCCACTGGTGGAGTACGCCGCATGCGTTGGACAACCCAGATGAACAGCAACGCATTGCGGGCGTATTTTAGGGCGAAAGGGGGAGAAACTGGAGGTTTTGCGTATCGGGCAAGGATGCATCGACTTTTTGCTGAGCTGGAGCCATCTGTAACCGTCACCGAGCAAAACCTGGCAGACCGAGTTCGGTATATCTTGCGCTCAAATACATTTGATGTCACCGAACTCGAACGGCTACGACGTGAGGCTGTTCCTTCATCGGATGAAAATGCTGCGGCTGAGGATGCGGCGCCACAACTTGCTGAGCAAACGGCAAATGTGGATGCCGCCGTGAATACGCCAGTTGTGGTTGATTCAAACGATGATGGAACAGTCGCCCAGGAACTGGAACTAGAGCAAATGAGGAGTACATTGGAAGAGGCGATTGTGGAAACGCGCAGTACGACTCTCGAAAATCGACCGCGACTTCCCCGCTTAGCCCTAAGCAAGCGGAATCGGGCTGTCGTGAGGGCTCTGAACCCAATGCTGGTTACCTATTTGGAAGCCAGCCGGGACCTTTGCGAGACGGACTCAATTCTTTTTGGCGCCGCACTGGCAGTCTGCCGTATTATAGGTGCCAAACTTTCCACGGCTGGACGCGCTACTGGACAAAGTAGTGCTATCCCAGCCTGGAGAATAAGAATTGAAGAACGTATCGCAAAGGCTAGGGCCCTCATCGGCAGACTGATATGCTTCAGGTCAGGCAATACCAGGCCAAGGATTGTGCGCACCGTCAGGATGGCGTTTGCTGGGACAAATGTTAGTTTGTCCCAGCCGGATATAATGCAAAAACTGACGGAGCGCATAGACGACCTGAAGCAAAGAATAGCTGCTTGGGGAAAGCGGATTCGGCGATATACCGAGAGGTCGACACGGTTCAACCAGAATCGTCTCTTCCAGAGTGATCAGAAGAGGCTCTATAAATCATTGGAGCGACCAATAGTAAGTGGAACGGGCCCTGCACCAAATCAGGCCGACATGGTCGCATTCTGGCGCAGCCTGTGGTCAGAGCCCGTAAACCACAACGAGGGCCCTTGGACGGAAGTTGTGGCGAGTCAGTGTGCGAGTATTACGCCCATGGACCCCGTCATCATAACGCCGGATGACGTAGCTGAGGCGGTCCGTAGGGCCCCGAACTGGAAAAGTCCGGGGCTTGACGGGCTGCATCACTACTGGCTGAAGGGGTTCATGGTGTGTCACTCTGTGCTCGCCCGACAGTTTCAAGAGGCTCTCAACCAGAAGTCGCTCCCAAGCCTCTTCACTACTGGGATCACTCATTTGGTTCCTAAAGATCAGGGTGCCACAGACCCGAGCAAATACCGCCCCATCACGTGTCTACCGACCATATACAAGACACTAACATCCATTTTGAGCGCAAGAATCGCTCGTCACCTGGACTTAAATCAGGTGATGTCGCGCGCTCAAAATGGATGTCGGGGCGGCGGTCGTGGAACCAAGGAACCACTCCTCATTGACGCGGTCATTGGCAAAGTGGTGAAACGCAACCGTCGGAACTTCTCCGCCGCCTGGATAGATTACAGAAAGGCATTTGACTCGGTGCCCCATACATGGCTAAAGAGGGTCCTCGAGCTGTACAAGATTGACTGTACAGTTCGAGACTTCCTCGAGCAGTGTATGGGGCAGTGGAGTACGATCCTCTGTCATCTAGGCGAGCGGATGACGGCTGCGGAAAGCCGCATAAGGATAAGAAGGGGTATATTCCAGGGCGACTGTCTGAGTCCAATCTGGTTCTGCCTCTCTTTGAACCCTCTCAGTACTTTACTGGAGGGCTCCGGGAGGGGATTTCAGCTTCGGAAAGGAGGTACAAAAGTGACCCACCTTTTCTATATGGATGACCTCAAATTATTCGCCTCCAGTCGCTCCCATCTTATGGAATTGCTAAACATCACGTGTGAATTTAGCAATTCTATTAGAATGGAGCTGGGGACGGATAAGTGTGCGGTCCTCCATGTTGAAAGGGGAAGGGTTGCTAACTCTGAGGGCATAGACTTATCTATGCCCGTCAACTTAAGGACCCTTTCCGAGGCTGAAACATACCGATACCTGGGTATGTCACAGAACATCGGTATCGATGAGGCTGGTATGAAACAGTCAGTTTGCGACGTGTTTTATGCACGCTTGACCAAAGTGCTTAACAGCCTTTTGTCCGGTGTGAATAAGGCACACGCATATAACGGCTGGGTCATGCCTGTCCTCATGTATACCTTTGGCATACTCAGGTGGACTCAGACTGAACTTAACGCCCTGGATAGAAAAGTCCGCACTACCATGACGTCCCATAGGATGCATCATCCGAGATCGTCGGTAATGAGGCTGTACTTGCCGCGGAAGCATGGTGGTCGTGGCTTCTTGAGCGCGAAGTGTGCAGCCTCCGTGATTACTTCCTGGCGAGATCGGATGATCCATTCTATAAGGACGTCATTTCTTGTGATAAAGGACTTACCCCTCTATCCTTAGCCAACGAGCAATGGCAAGACCCGGCAGTGCAGAGCATTTCCGACCGGGAGACCGTATGGAAGGAGAAGGAGCTCCACGGGAGGTTCTACAAGGCTCTACATGAGCCTTTCGTAGACACAGTAGCCTCCCTCCACTGGCTACGCTTTGGTGATCTCTTCGGGGAAACCGAGGGTTTTGTCTGTGCAATACAGGATCAGGTTATTAAGACCAACAACTATCGGAGATACATCCTAAAGGATGGCACCGTCGACATCTGTCGAGCTTGTCGCCATCCCGGTGAGTCACTTAGGCATGTTATCTCCGGTTGTTCGGCGCTTTCTAACTCTGAGTACTTGCACAGGCACAACCTAGTAGCCAGAATTCTACACCAGGAGCTCGCTCTGAAATACGGTCTCGTGGATCGGAAATTGCCGTATTACAAGTACTTGCCGGAAGCCGTGCTCGAAAATGATCGCGCCAGGCTCTATTGGGACCGGGCCATCATCACAGACAGGACTATTCTTGCGAATAAGCCTGATATTGTGCTGATGGACCGGGCACAGTCAAGGATATTTTTGGTCGACATTACCATTCCGTATGACGAGAACCTCGTGAAAGCCGAAACAGACAAGCAAACAAAATATCTGGACCTGGCTCACGAGGTGACCGACATGTGGGGTGGTCTGCCGACCGAAATTATTCCTGTAGTCGTCTCTGCAAACGGGCTAATCCCAGTCAGCCTCTCGGGTCATCTGAGGCGGCTGGGACTACGTGGCGGACCGCTCCAGGTTCAAATGCAGAAGGCGGTGCTCCTCGATACCGCCCGCATCGTCCGCCGGTTTCTTTCCCTTTCCCCCTAACCCTCGGCCGTTTGGTCTCCCCTGCCGAGGGCCTCCATCTGGTTGGGCTTTTACTTATTTATGTACTTTTATATTTATTTTATGTTATTGATATTTATGTATATTTATCTTTTCATTTTCATTTATAATTATATATTTATATAACCCAACCAGATGAGAAAACTATATAGATACCCCATAATAATAATAATAATAATTCAGTCGAGTCGCTCCCATCTTGTGGAATTGCTAAAAATCACTTGTGAGTTTAGCAGTTCCATTGGAATGGAGCTGGGGACGGATAAGTGTGCGGTCCTCCATGTTGAGAGGGGAAGGGTTGCTAACTCTGAGGGCATAGATTTATCTATGCCCGTCAACTTAAGGACCCTTTCCGAGGCTGAAACATACCGATACCTGGGTATGTCACAGAACATCGGTATCGATGAGGCTGGTGTGAAACAGTCAGTTTGCGACGTGTTTTATGCACGCTTGACCAAAGTGCTTAATAGCCTTTTGTCCGGTGTGAATAAGACACACGCATATAACGGTTGGGTCATGCCTGTCCTTATGTATACCTTTGGCATACTCAGGTGGACTCAGACTGAACTTAACGCCCTGGATAGAAAAGTCCGCACTACCATGACGTCCCATAGGATGCATCATCCGAGATCATCGGTAATGAGGCTGTACTTGCCGCGAAAGCATGGTGGGCGTGGCTTTCTAAGCGCGCTCACTATGCATAATCGTGAAGTGTGCAGCCTCCGTCATTACTTCCTGGCGAGATCGGATGATCCATTCTATAATGACGTCATTTCTAGTGATAAAGGGCTTACCCCTCTATCCTTGGCCAACGAGCAATGGCAGGACCCAGCAGTGCTTAGCATTTCCGACCGGGAGACCGTATGGAAGGAGAAGGAGCTCCACGGGAGGTACTACAGGGTTCTACATGAGCCCTTCGTAGATACAGTCGCCTCCCTCAACTGGCTACGTTTCGGTGACCTCTTCGGGGAAACCGAGGGTTTTGTCTGTGCAATACAGGATCAGGTTATTAAGACCAACAACTATCGGAGATACATCCTAAAGGATGGCACCGTCGACGTCTGTCGAGCTTGTCGCCATCCCGGGGAGTCACTTAGACACGTCATCTCCGGTTGTTCGGCGCTTTCTAACTCTGAGTACTTGCACAGGCACAACCTAGTAGCCAGAATTCTTCACCAGGCGCTCGCTCTGAAATACGGTCTCGTGGACCGGAAATTGCCGTATTACAAGTACTTGCCGGAAGCCGTGCTCGAAAATGACCGCGCCAGGCTCTACTGGGACCGGGCCATCATCACAGACAGGACTATTCTTGCAAATAAGCCTGATATTGTGCTGATGGACCGGGAACAGTCAAGGATATTTTTGGTCGACATTACCATTCCGTATGACGAGAACCTCGTGAAAGCCGAAACAGATAAGCAAACAAAATATCTGGACCTGGCTCACGAGGTGACCGACATGTGGGGTGGTCTGCCGACCGAAATTATTCCTGTAGTCGTCTCTGCAAACGGGCTAATCCCAGTCAGCCTCTCGGGTCATCTGAGGCGACTGGGACTCCGTGACGGACCGCTCCGGGCTCAAATGCAGAAGGCAGTGGTCCTCGATACCGCCCGTATCGTCCGTCGGTTTCTTTCCCTTTCCTCCTAACCCTCGGCCGTTTGGTCTCCCCTGCCGAGGGCTTCCATCTGGTTGGATCTTTATTTATTTGTGTATTTTTTGTATTTATTTTATTTTATTGATATTTATGTATATTTATCTTTTCATTTTAATTTATAATTATATATTTATAGAAACCAACCAGATGAGAAAACTATATAGATACCCCAAAAATAATAATAAAGCCTCTTTATTCCTTAATAGAAAATATTTACAATACAACAATTATATGTACGCTTAGAAAATATAAAATAAAATATATATTTCAATTAAGGACCCCTCTTTGGGTAAAGGCCTCCTCCATCTTTTCCCACTCTTTCCGGTTCTGTGCTATTTTTAACCAATTTTTTCCTGCTGTCTTTTCAACCTCATCGACCCATCTTTCTTTCGATCTTCCTTGCTTGCGTTTGCCTGTTGGTCCTGTCCACATGGTTACTCGTTTAGTCCATTTGGTATCTGTGGATCGTGCTACATGACCTGCCCACTTCCATTTCAATTTTTGAGAGTAATGTAATGCGTCTATCACTCTCGTTTTCTTGCGAATGTCATTGTTTTTGCATTTATCTTTTAGTTTTAGGTTTAGGATACTTCTTTCCATTGCACGTTGACATGTTAGTATTTTATTCCTTGTTTGTCTATTGAAGATCCATGTTTGGCAGCCATATGTGAGACAGGGAAGTATGCAGGAATCCATGACTTTCTTTTTTAAATTTAGCGGTAGATCTGCTTTGAGTACCTCTTTATGTTTCCAAAACTTATTCCAGGTTATAGCAATTCTCCTATCGATCTCGTCTTGATTTCTAGAAATTTTGAAAGAGGTTTGTTTGCCTAGGTAGTTATAGTGATCTACATATTCAAGCTCTATGTCATCACTTTTATTGGGTGTTTTGTGCTATTTGTGCATACCTTCGTTTTTTCAGTGTTTAGTTTTAGGCCTATTTTTGTGCTTACATTGTTAATTTCTTGTATCATGGCTTCAAGTTTTTTATGTGAATCGGAGAAGATAACAATATCATCGGCGAAGCGAAGGTTGTTCAAATAGTTGCCATTGAGATTAACTCCTGCTTTATTCCAGGATAGGTCTTTCATAATGTGTTGTAGTACCGCTATGAAAAGTTTAGGTGAAAGAGGATTGCCTTGTTTTACTCCTCTACGTATATTGATCTCAGGTCCTGTACGATCAAGTTTAACTCGGCTTGTGCTATGTTCATAGATATTTCTAATGATAGCTATATATGTTTGTGGTATTTTTTGCTGTTTGAGAGCTCTCCATATACTGTCATGGGATATAGAGTCGAATGCTTTTACGTAGTCTATGAATCCGAGATATAGAGGTTTATTGAACTCTATAAATTTTTCAATTATCAAATCTAAGGTATGGATATGATCTATGGTGCAGAAACCTCTACGAAAGCCCGCTTGTTCTGTAGGTTGCTGTTCGTCTATTTGACCTCCTATCCGTTTTTCTAGGCACAAAGCGAAAAGTTTATATATCGCAGGTAACAGATTTATAGGGCGATAGTTGCTAGCATTCGTTGGGTCACCTTTTTTTGTACAAGAAAATAATTCTTGATTCTGTCCATTTTTTTGGGAACACTACGTTTTTCTAAAACTGTATTAAACAGTTTCATGAGAGGCGCAGCTAATAGATGTTTGGCAAGTTTCAAAGCTTCGTTAGGAATACCGTCAGGACCGGGACTTTTATCATTTTTCAGGTTGTCTATGTTTATTATAATTTCTATGTCGGTAAACTTATCAATACTTGTGGAGTCATAGACCTCCTCTAGTGTTTGCTCAGATTCCAGAGTATCTATAGTCTGCGCTTCATAGAGGTTCTTATAAAATTCTGTTGCTAAAATATTGTCGGTAAACTGCACTTTTTCAAAGTGGTGCGGTTCTTATGTCTAATAAAACAGTCGTCAAAGATGATCATTTGGTTTCGGACGCCAATTCATAATATTTATGCTTTTAAGCCATATTTTTAGTCTCGATTCAGTAGGAAACCTGTTAATTAATAAACATTTGATAATTATCTGTTGTTGACGACTTTGCTTGTCAACATATATGGGTAATATAGAACCTCGATAAATATTATAGACGAGGAACTCGACAACTCTATTGAATTTTATTGTTTATCAAAACTCAGTAATATACAGACAAAAATGTTTGTAATTATGATATTAAAATTAGTAACAAATTTTTAAGTACCTATATTATCAAATATATTTGTTTAATATTAGCTGCAAATTCACTTACTTGTGGAATGGTATACCACTTTCCTTTTGGTAACGAGTTTTACAGATTACAAACACTCTCATTATTATTAAAAATAATTCTTATCATGTAACTAAAGTTATACACAATCAAACAACTTTAAATACTTTCGTTTTTTAGTTTAAAAGTTCAAAATACAGATTTTTTTTTTAAATAAGACAACAGACTTTGGCATATTATGTCAATATTAATTTTCAAGACAACCAATAGTTGCGCTTCAAATTGGCACAGATATTTTGTATGGGATAGATTCACAGTTCACCGTACTTGTAATAGAGGTCAGTGTTGCCGTTCGATTGTTAATTTCTCAGTATTCGCGTTAGATCTAGTAAAACTAATGTTAGTAGTGTAATTTAGATATTATAAGGAACAAATCAACATGCATTTCATTTAGTTACGCAACAATTTGTGGTAGGCCCATTCTCCATACAATTAGAAATTGTCTCTTTTTAGCGCGTTGTAAAAATAAGTTTCATTGTTTAAGACGCCACATTAAGGTCTTGTCTTTAGTCTATGTCTCTCGGTAGAGAACAAAATAGCGTAGTAAATTTTCTTCGCGAATACGACTCTATTTCATTAGGGTTCCGTAGTCAACTAGGAACCCTTATAGTTTCGCCATGTCTGTCTGTCCGTCTGTCCGTCCTCGCTTAATCTCTGTGACCGTTAGCACTAGAAAGCTGAAATTTGGTACCAATATGTGTATCAATCACGCCGACAAAGTGGTAAAACAAAAATTGGAAAAAAATGTTTTATTAGGGTAGCCACCCTATATTTAAAGTGGGAAGTGATTTTTTTTTTTAATTTCAACCCTAACGTGTGATATATTGTTGGAAAGGTATTTAAAAATGAATAGGGGTTTACTAAAATCATTTTTTGATAATGTCAATAATTTCGGAAATAATCGCTCCAAAAGTAAAAAACAATGTGTCCCCCCCCCCTCTAACTTTTGAACCATAAGTTTAGAAAATATGAAAAAAATCTGGAAAGTAGAACTTTATAAGGACTTTCTAGGAAAATTATTTTGAACTTGGATGGAAACAACAGTTTTTGTCCAAACTCATAAGTGGGAACACTTACTGTGACGGACGAAAAACTACGGAACCCTACATTGAGCGTGGCCCTACACGCTCTTGGCCGCTTTTTTTTTGTTTTACAACACTTTTGTTATCACTGACCTCTATATACAGTGTGTCCGGTCACAGACTAGCGATATTTTAGGTACTTATAATACAGTTATTTTAATATAAAAATACTCTACTCACTGAGGTCTAATCCCCTCCCCCCTATTTGGCAGCCATTTTGTTTTTCTCTTGAGATATTCTCTACGCGTTTACGAAAAAAGTCATATCTCTGAAAGTTTTAGTCTTACTGAGATAAAAATTAACTCATTCGGAGGCCAATAATATTGTTTATCGTTTACATTATCAAAATTTTTGTTGACATACTTGTAACTTTGAAGAAAAAAAATTTAAGTTCAAATAAATATCAAAAAAATATGCTAATCGGCAAATTATTGTAAATGACTGCAAAAACAACCCTGTTCACCCTTTTTATTTTTATACTAGATCGACAGATTTTGAGTTAAGCTACAATACAACATAAAGTTTACAGCTGTATCTTTATTACTTTAAGAATTATTGTTGTTTGAACATAGCATATACGCAAACACAAAAGGCCTTTGTTAAATGACAACTGGCACTGCCTGCCTAGGAGTAATAGTAATCTGAGATTACTTATGATCTTCGATGAATTAGAGATGATGAATTAGATATCAGAGAATCAGAATCATCATTTATAAGTAGTATAATTTGAGAGCAGGCAGCACAGAACACTATTACTCCTAGGCAGGCAGTGCCAGTTGTCACTTAACAAAGGCCTTTTGTGTTTGGGCATACGCCATGTTCAAACAACAATAATTCTTAAAGTAATAAACATACAGCTGTAAACTTTATGTTGCATTGTAGCTTAACTCAAAATCTGTCGATCTAGTATAAGAATAAGAGGGGTAAATGGGGTTGTTTTTGCAGTAATTTACAATGGCATTTTGTTATTTGAAGTTAAATTTTTTTTCTTCAAAGTTACAAGTATGTCAACAAAAATTTTGATAATTTAAACGATAAACAATATTATTAGCCCTCGAATGAGTTAATTTTTATCTAGTAAGACTAAAACTTTCAGAGATATGACTTTTTTCGTAAACGCGTAGAGAATATCTCAAGAGAAAAACAAAATGGCTGCCAAATAGAGGGGAGAGGGGATTAGACCTCAGTGTGTAGTGTATTTTTATATTAAAATAGCTGTATTATAAGTACCTAAAATATCGCTAGTCCGTGACCGGACACACTGTATAGTATATATAGAAGTCAGTGTTTGTGATACATTATCCATAAACAAGCGAAGTTACCATAAGAAACATAATGATTTCTTATATTTACGCGAACACTACACATTGATTAAAACTACTTTTACGGATTTTATTGCGTTTCATTTTAAATGTTTTTTTTTTAATTCATGTTAGAAGTAAAAGTTGTCCAAAAGTATATCTACCTCGGCCTCGTGCAGTTGAATTTTTTTTATAGAATATGGTTGACAAATGGTGACAAATGAGCACACAGTCCACCTGATGGTAAGTGGATGCTGTGTCCCACAGACATCTACACTTATTAAGATAAATGTAGATGTCTTTTATGAAGATAAATGTAGATGTCTATTTAATTGAAGAATTAAAAATCAAAACGCTGATGCGTTGCCAGCCCTGAGGACTGAGATGAAATGCTTCGTTTCCAGTAAAAAGGGTCTCCGGTTCTCTACCCTCACCATAAGAAACACAGCAGCATTAAGCAGTTATTTTACGCTGGTATTCTGTGAGAGCGTGGTCCTACCCCGGTCGAGCCGACCCATTCGTGCTGCAACCACAATATAGCTGCAGCATGGCTCTACCAAGTAAAAAAAAGATAGTAACAACTTCGAGAAAGAAGCCGGCGGATTCAATTGGACTGGGCAGCATTCGGGAAGCTTCCTCAGCCCTTCTCGTCGCCTATACCGCAAAGCTTGAAGACGAAAGACTTCGACCAGTGCGTCCTGCCTGTACTCACATATGGTGTCCAAACCTGAACACTAACGGTACGACTACTTCACAAACTCAAAGTCTGGGTGACTTTGAGTTTGTGTTGCCAGCGATGAAAAAAGCTGTGCTTGGAGTTTCTCTTGTGAACAACATTCGTAACGAAGAAATCCGCCGGATAACCAAGGTTACTGACGTAGTCTTCCGTATTTGCAGACAGAAGTAGCAATGGGCTTGTCATATCGGTCGCAGAAGCGATTACTGTTGAAATAGGCGCGTCATGAAGTGGAGACCACGTTTAGGTAGGACGCCCCCTGGCTAGATGGAGTGACGATCTGCGCAAGTGCAGTAACTGGATGGGTGTAGCCGAAGATCGGGGTAAGTGGAGCACCTTGGGAGAGGCATATGTCCAGCATTGGATTGCCGCAGGCTGATGACGATGATGATGATAACTGAATGAATGATGAATCCGGTCTTGATGTGTGCCGGTTACCATAATTTACTTAAAATATAACATTTGTATAAAAACTTTTTAACTTTCCAGAATAACGAAACGCATTGTCACCGCATTAACATGACCCGCAGCTTTTATTCAATGGCGGTAACAGTTTGCGAAACACAGTTGCCACTTCGGTACTGCTTTTGCTTTAATTTTAAAGGAACTTTAATATTAATAAAACTTAAATATGTTGTTGATAACTTCTCTCCCCGTGTTTTTGTTGTTTAGTTGCATTAAATATGGTAAGTCAATAATTTTATTAACATTTTAGACCATAAATTAAGTAATATATCATTAAAAATCTAATACAACTTAATTTATGGTCGAACAAATGGGTTTTCAAAATAATTCTTATTAATAAAATTGACTTAGGTTATCACATTACAGTTCAAATAATAATGGTTATCTATAAAACATTAAATAAAGAAATTAAAATTATTTGTCATGCAGTATTTATAGTTTTATAAAGACTTATCAAAGCCAGTTAAGAGCACAGTAGTTTTTATCAGTGTTGTTTACCCCATCAAAATCTATATGTTTAATAGTTTACATAAATAATAATTACAAGCACGAAGTTATCTTGGTATTGTTAATGTTAATAATAAATACATTAATGTGGAAGTATCTTTTGTTGTTATACAATACACAATTTAGAAATTTAAATTAAAATGAATACTTTTAGTAATAATAATAATGAGAATGAAACAACTTATGAACTATATTAAATGACTAAAACCAAACAATATTTATTAATTTGTTAAGAGTTTATTCGAAAAGCGAGCAGATTTCTGGGCGCTACGCTAGAGTATAACATAATTAAAAAGCTTTTGTTGGGATTGACTTAAGTGATTTAAAATAAAGCTTTAGAACTATATAATCCATATATTTACATATATACATATATAATTTATCTTTGCCACGTTTTTATTAAGTCACTTTTTTGTTTGTCTGTCTGTCTGTCGTTCCGAGTCGAATCTTGCAACTCAAATTTTGACCACTTCCCGATGTGTTATAGATAAAAAATAATTTAAAAAAAATATTTGTAGTAAAAATAAATAAAAAACAATCACTTATTACTGATTTACTTCAAAATATAAAATGTTAGTTCCATTTTCCGCCAACGTGCGGCCGTTCTTTTTTCTAACCACAGACCAACAAAGAAAATAGACAGAGCGCTGCGCAGTGTGTGATATTTCGAGTGACGCTGAAATCATGCTCTACACGCGCATTCACCCACATTTATCTTCTCCTGTCCTGCCTTTATCGTTTCATAAATAACGCGTACTTGATGCACAGATTGCTTAAAACCATGTCGGTGATTGATTTTAGTTATGGATTAGTTTTGCTCCATCTATCTTTCCTTATTTATCTGAGTTTCAAACATAACTCTATTTTATGTAAACCTTGTTCTACATTAAAGAATAAATTAAAAAAAGCGAAACATTATTTTTTATTTTACTTTCACTGACCAGCTAGCACCATCCGTTGTTACGAATGCACCAGCGTTAACAACTCAATGTGCCTCGACCCCACGATTTATGACCAGGATACAGTGACGAGATACCTTGGCACAACAAACTGCGAGACGGGAGTCTATTCAGCTGGGAATAAGAACTTTTTCTGCAGGAAGATCGTCCAAACCAGTTCGTACACCACATGTTTTTTATTTTTGTATTTTATATAAGATATATACATAATTTCACCGTGTTGTTGCTGTGTAAATATATCCACTACCCCCACATCATCCCGTGGGTGTAGTAAGAGGCGACAGAGGGGAACAAATCAGGAGATGGGCAGCAGTGTCCCACTAATAACGACAAAAAAATACATTGTCTTTGCAACCCACTTGTCAAGCGTGGCACTATGGCAAATATATAATAATATATCTCTACTTGGACCGGGCCATCATCACAGACAGGACTATCCTTGCGAATAAGCCTGATATTGTGCTGATGGATCGGCCACAGTCAAGGATATTTTTGGTCGACATTACCATTCCGTATGACGAGAACCTCGTGAAAACCGAAACAGATAAGCAAACAAAATATCTGGATCTGGTTCACGAGGTGATCGACATGTGGGGTGGTCTGTCGACCGAAATTATTCCCGTAGTCGTTTCTGCAAACGGGTTAATCCCAGCCAGCCTCTCGGGTCATCTGAGGCGGCTGGGGCCGCTCCAGGCTCAAATGCATAAGGCGGTGCTTCTAACCCACGGCCGTTTGGGCTTCCATCTGGTTGGGCTTTTATTTATTTATGTATTATTTATATATGTTAGTACATTAAATGAATATTTATGTATATTTATCATTTCCTTCAGCCCAACCAGATGAGAATACTCTATGAACACCCCAATAACAATATAATAAATATCCCCCCCTCTAAGGCAACCTATGGGGGAGGCCTATGTTCGGCAGTGAACTTCAATAGGCTGTAACAGTAACGGTAACAGTAATATTTTCTACAAACTTCGACAGTAATTTCGTTTCCAAAATAATGTAATCGTATCGTGTTGTATAGGCTGTAACTTTAACTTTTATATTATCTGTGAACATTAAAAGTCTTATTGCGGTGTTAATTATATTCGATACGTGGTTTAGTCGTACAGAATAGTTACTAGGTCGCGGATTGTGGCTTCGTATCCCAACCTTAGTCTAAACAATAACAAGTAGCAATGTACATGTGGAAGACGGAAGATGTACATGCTGTAAAATTGTAGGCTTATTACGGAAAGCTTTAATCGGACTTCTGGTGTAGGATATGTAGAGTCACATGAAAAGGTTTTAAAATAGCATAGAATAATTTTATGTTCAATTTAGTACTACGACCACTGATTCGGAGAAATCCTCTGTCCTGGGAAGAACCAACAAAAAACCCCGCGGGGCATTTCTTTTAAATATAATTAATTTACAATTTATTACTATATACTAAGACAAAATACACAGATCACAACTAATCAACTATAAATTGTACTGAGACTGATTTAGTAGAAAGAGAATGAGAGAAAAGAGTCGAGGATGAGCCAGTAGCGGAACACAACAAGTGCACCGCGCCACGCGAGAGCCAAGACTCTCTTACAACAAGTAGCCACACGTGGCCCAAACCTTTCTAAAGACGAATTTAAAGCGTTGAATAACTTACGGAACAGACCAGAGCTCACGATTCACCGCGCGGATAAAGGAAATGCTACGGTAATAAAGGACACGTCAGAGCATAATTTTAAAATACAACGACTTTTATCGGACGAAAGTACATACAAAAAGGTCAAAACAGACCCTACAACTAATACGCTTAAAACAACTAGCCATTTAATAAAGAAATACTCCGAAAAGTTAAATCTCGACGTGAATTCGATAATACCATCATGTGCCAAACCACCGAGTTTGTATGGGTTACCGAATATACACAAGCCAAACGCTCCACTACGTCCTATAGTGAGCCAGATCGATCTACCGACCACCGACTTATAAGTTAAGGCTCAACGCTTATTAAAAATACTGTCATCGGTGAGAGAACATACCAGAGCACATGGTCCTAGTGCGAATACAAGCTGTAATAGTTACAAACTTATGCTAATTTTTTATTGTCATCGTTTCTTAATTCATCTGTGAAATTTTAGAAAAATTGAACGTCTGAATGGGTGTAAAAATTAGAAACTGAATTAGTAGAATTCACTTTTCTAAAATCAATATTCTGAATTAAAAATTTCCTATTATAGAATAGAATAAAATAATTTTTCATCATGCGGAGTTAATGCAAACATCCGCATCCGCAATAATTTTTACGGAGCTTTTGCTGATCCGGATGTGGTACGACAAGAAATAACTAGGCGGCACCAGTGAGTAATAAAAGTAAAAAAATAATGCGTACAACATCATCGATGAGTGTTGTTACAGTATTTTTTTTATCGTACAAGCGTACAAAAGTTTACTACCTCATATCTTCCCGCGATTGTCGTAAGAGTTGACAGAGGTAAATAAAATAGGTGATGGACAACAGCGTCTTTCTGTAAACAACTTGAAATAATTAAAAATATCACTGCGTTACTGGCGCTTTAAGAATACCCACTACCCCATATTGTCCCGAGGGTGTTGTAGGAAGCGACAGAGGGAAAATGAAACAGAAGGTGTAGCAGCATCGTCCTGACAAAAATCGTTAATGGCAATTTTAGTGCGTGTATGGCTTACATACCGCGTGCAAGACGATGATGGAACACGTCGTGAGGAAACCTGCATGTTTAACGCTGGCCATACACGCTACGGTCTACCGGAAAGGTATACCTGTGCAGGTGTGCATGCGCATGCAGACCGGAACAGACCTGTGCAATTTTTGATCTTGCACAGGAAACCGGAATTCAATTCTTTGCGCAGGCAAACCTGTGCAGGCAAAACTATTTTTAAACTGTAAAGGTCACGCTTGGGTGTACCTGAATAACTCAACTGTACACGTAAACATGTCATCTATACCCTAGCGTGTATGACTTCCATAACGTGTATCGCTTCCATAAGGAATAAAATAATTCGGTACATATGTGAAGTTCAACGCGTAGTGGTAGTGTAAGAATATCCACTGCTCCATATCGTCCCGAGGGTGTCGTAAGAGGCAGAGGGAAACTGAAGCAGGAGATGGACAGCAGTAACTATCTGAAAAAATTCAAAGGTTGCCAAGCGTGGATGCTATGACGAAATCTCTCCTATGAAGCAATCTATGGGGACGCCTAATATGTTCAGCACTGGACTTTTATAGGTTCTAATAGATGAATGGATGAATGTGAAGTCCATCCACCAACGCGCACCGGAACAGCGCATTGATCTAATTGCTTTGTAAGACTAGAGGAGGCCTGCGCCCAGCAGTGGGGACTGTGAACTGTACAAAGACTGCAACTTTATTTATTAACAACCAGCGATTCGCCTCAACTTCCGGGTGATTTCTGGATTTCTTCAACAGCGCCACCTACCGGATACAATTGTGAATATAAACCATCCAGCGACCCATTTAAAACAAACACAAAAAATTTCATGAAAATCGGTCCATGCATTCTCAAGTGATGATCTTTTAAACATGCAGAAACAGAAACAGGAACAAAAACTTTTTTATTCAATATACATAGATTAAAAATAATACTTATTGAAAGTGACTTTGCACTTGCAGCAATTGATATTTATTTATATATAATCCTAGCGTAATTTTTTTCTTTGATAATATTTTCTGTGATATTCGGACATTAATAGACATCAACACAGAATTCAAAGGTCATCGCAAACTAACAGCAAACGAAGACGAATGTATTCATTAGAGTGTTACCACACCAACCGATCGATCGTCGATCGATGTCATCGATCGATGTTAGAATGGGCCAGTCGACGTTGATCGAGCTGCTTGAATATTAGAGAACCCACCCCACTCCAACGACCGCTATTTAAAATGTCTAGATGAATTTAATTTACATATGTGGCTATGGCCTTAAAAAACGGTCGCACCCATAGTCTTCTGCGTTTGCGTTTGAGCGAGCGTACAAGGCGTACTAGCCAACAATAACGCGTCCTCTTCTGAATACATTTTGAAAGACACTGATGACGAGCTCACAACCACATTGATTAACTGTCGATCGATGACTGAACAACATTTTGTCGACGAGTGTCTACTATAAACATCATCATTAGCTCATCCTCTAAATCAGTCATCATAATCAGCTTAAGCTACCCACACCAATCGATCGACATCGATTGACGTTGAACAATGGCATCGATCAACGTCTACGTCAACGTCATCCACGATCGGTCGACGATAGATCAATTGGTGTGGTAACACCCTTACGCATATGCCAATAGCGTCTGGAGATAATGAGTATTTATGTTAGTAGTGTACTAAGATAAACGTACAAGAAGTAGGAATCGGGGTCACCTTTATGATAGCCCGATAGTTTCTCAATCGTAGGACCCGTTGTTAAATGAAAACATACAGTTCTAAAGCTAACATGTCTTTTTAACCGGCTTCAAAAAGAAGGATTCCTCAGGGGTTCATTAAAATCTTCAAACTTCAATTTACAAAGGCGCGATATAATATGGACGAATGATTCTTTACCACATCGGGCGATTTCGATAATTTTGATGTTTACTTTTTATTTATGTCATTTTTTTATTTACGTTCAGAGTACCGGAGACAGTTTTTACTGCAAACAAGGCATTTCATCTTAGTCGTCAGGGGTGACAACGCAATTGCATTTTGATTCTTAATTAGGAAGAAATAGTCTATGGGCCACAGCATCCACTTACCATCAGGTGGACTGTGTGCTTCTTTGTCGCCTTTATTCTATAAAAGAAACTATTTTCGAAAGTTTGGAATGGACCCTGCCAATATACGGCGAAGGCGGAACACCATGGGGTTTTTGACGGTGCGAGTCCGACATAACCCGTCCTTACTTCCGCGAGGTGGATATGGGTAAACATTTCCCCATGTTAAATATGGTTCGAACTTAAATTTCTCAGGCGTCAGTCGGTTGAGATACGGCTGATATCTTTGAGTATGCTGCTATCTATCTAATCCAGCCCAAAGCCGCGGACATATACTTGAGCCTGTCGGAGTCGGACTTATGAAGAACTAGCTTAGCCTAGGTAAACTAGTTTGTTCTAAAACCAATTGGCAG